TTTTTTAAATAAATTGGAGATTTATTATGTTAACTCACTTGTACCAATCTTGTATAATCAAACAATAAAACCTGCTTTATTTAAATCTACTTTCCTCAAACCTATTTAATTTAACTCATTTTCCCCAAACCCCACTTTCACTAAACTCATTTTGTCTAAACCATATGTCAAATAACCAAGAGTAGAGATCAACTTATATAACTTTATTCAGTTAAACACTTCATATAGTTTCCTAAAATTGTACAAAATTTAATGAGATGTCAATTTCCTTTACATGGAGATAACATTTAAGGTATAAAGCTATAAATTGCATATAATTAATAAAGAATAAATGAAAGCTATAGAACCCCTCAAGCTTGTGATATATTATCTTGTCCTGCTTATAAACTCAGTTCCTTAAAAGCCTTAAAGCTCTCTAGAGTCTAGCCTCCTGTAAACAGGAAACAAACAAAATAATTCACTATCAATTTTTGTAGTCAAGGATCAAATTTTCATTTCGATTTGTTGTTTCAATCTGTATAGAAATGGAAAAATTACAGAAACATTTCAAAATGTTGCGGAAAAGTTTTGGATATTTCAAGAGAGAATAGAATATAAGCAGGCATATTTGGTAATTACTAAAAAGAAGTAAAAATCAACCAATTTGATCAATTAAACCATTTGAGACTTCAACATTCATTAACATGTGGAAACCAGTGTAAAGTCAACACAAATGCCAGTGTTAGGCTGAAAATGAAAAATAGTGACATGTTTTTTATTTAGCATGTTTCTCCATGCTAAGTTTTTATTAAACCATCATAGTTTCCTTACTCCACTAGTCTTTCATTTTACAGCCATTTAAGTGGAAACAAATGGAATTTTAAAGTTTTAGGATCTATATTGTTACCCCACATCACATTCAATCTCAAGTAGATAAAATGGATTTATCCTCGTGAGATGATCAATTTTAAAACCTGTAGTATTATTGAGTGAGTTTTCCAAATCAGAATGCTTCAACAAATCCACAATCACAAGGCAATTTTTTTAAATGCTACATAATGTATATATTACCAGACTGATTGACCTACCTAAAGAGAACCTTCTAGCATTCGGGTGCTGAAACCGGTTGATATTAAAGCCAGTTATGAGGCCCTGTTAACCAATCATATGGTGATTATATCCTTGAAAAATATCATAACAATTGCTGAAGAAAGCTAATACCACATGCTTGTTTGGGAGTGAATTTTCTAAGTTCTTCTGAACCGCCATTGTAAAGAAAGAGCACTATAACATGTATTATCGAGAGAATTGGTGAGTCCAAACTAATTTCTTATTAAATTGGTTCACCCACTATCTTGTAAAGGCATTAGGTCGTAGAAGTATGCAACAGATTGCCAACAGAAATAATACTTTCAGAAAGCAAAATCAAGCAAAAACTATGCACATAAGAAAATTTCCATTACTTTATACATCTGTTTAAACCAAGAAGATAAGCACTTCTTGTTTACATACAAGGACTTATCATGAGGAGTATTGTATTTTGGTGAAAGTGCAGCTAGTATTACAATCCCACTTAGAAAAGCCAAGCCGAGCCCTAAACCATTTACAATCGTAGACTCTGTTGAATGCTTTAATAAGTTTCTCTTGGTTTGAAGAAATGTCAACTTCTCTAGCAAACCAGTTTCAGCTGTCACCACCCATAAGTGTAAAGACAAGAAGAAAGACATGCCAGGACAAGATTCGAACTCTTATTGTACGTGCCTCCCCTCTGTGCCAAAAACTCAAGAAAACCATCAACCACGGCACCAAGGGAGAAGAAATACAACATCAGAACTCTACACTTGCCTATACTGGTTTGAGAATCTGAAGCTTATGAGTCAGGGAAGCTCGAATAAAATCGGACGTAATAATGCAAGGAATCATAGATGTAAGGTGCCCAACTTCCTTAACAGGAGGCAGGGACAACAAATAGAAACATAAGAACCATTCCATTCTACAAAAGAGTTACTCCGCATCTGTACGAGTGGAAGGGAAACCTAACCTCAATTGAGAGCTATATTATACAATCTCTAGAAGATGACATTATCATCCAGGATTCTCATATTATAAATTATAAACTATAAACTTGTCACGCCCCAATCTGGGGGTGTGATCGGCACTAGGGTCGGCTTACCAACCCAGTTAGCCTATAACCAGGTCGAAACAGAAAAGTATCGCAGCAGTACAAACATCAAAATGTAGGTGTATATATATACGTCAAAAAGGATTTAAGGAATACAAGGAGCTACTAAAGCACAAATAACATAAATGATACAAAAGTGCCCGTACATCGCAGTGAAGCAGCAGAGGACAAATCGACCCAGAAGCTACCGCTGCGATCAGAACAGCAATTGGAAAGGGGGAGGAAAGGAATGAGTATAAAACTCAGTGAATAACAATAAAATCTAGACAAGACAGGACATGGATCACAATTTACGAAATCCACACATGTTCGTATAACATATACAGGATATATATGCATGTCGTTCACACACACAAAAATCAGAAACAGAATGTCAAACACCTGTCGGAGTATCGGATCTCATCAGAAATCATATCATACCGGGATCCCGTATCAGAACCAGAGCCAGAAATCACAGATGGCACATAGTGCCAGAACACCCCCGTGTTCCTCAGAAATTCGGATCATAAAGACTCTCGACAGGTAACCTTTAAATCACATGCATGACTGAGGCACACAAATGTATGAGTACAGAAATGTTTCCAAATTCATCATAATTTAAAACATATAGATACATGTCCCGAATTCAAATATCATAAATCAGAAATCAAGTCCAGGAATTAGAATCCAAGAATTTGTCAGAAAATCGAAATACAGAAATGCATATAGAAAATACTGTCACTCACCTGGCACGCTAAACGAGGCACCGAACTTGTGCCAACGGCTCACTGCTCGAAATGTTTCCTTCGGAGTATCTACAATCACCAAATCGAAAGTCAGAATCGAAATCGGGTCTTATTCTAAAAAGACTCAACTCTCAAAAGTGGGCCGGGACCTCCTTCGTCACCAGGCCCTTTTTCACGCATCTCGAGACCCATTTGGCCTCATACTCAAACCACTCTAGGCTTGAACTACTAAAATCTAATTAAACACAACTAAAACTCCACCAAACTGGGCTTAACCGAGCCGATTTCCCGTGAACCGAGCCGAACTGGGCTCAAATCCACAAAATCAGGGTGAACCGGGTTTTCTCCCTCTTAATCCATGAAGAACTGGTCTTTGACTACCAAGACTTGGACTGAACCGGCCAAACCCTCGAGAAATTTCACTGAACCGGGGCCCTAAACCCCTGAACCGGCCTTGGTTCTCCAAAAACCGGCTGTTTAACCACTTTTCCCCAAAAATCCCCTTGAACCGGACTGGTTCCAGCCCCTAAACCAGTCCCAAACCGTTCTTCTCTCCTACCTAGACCGGGAACCGGGATCAGTCCAAAAACCCGCTGAACCGCCGGTTCCAGCCCAACAGGGCTGGACCGGACCAGTCAACCATGGTCTGTCCCTTCAGCCCGGAAACCCGGGCGGAACACCCAGGGTCCTGTAACTGTCGAACCCAGAACCCCCTGAGCTTAAAACCGAGAAAAAAAACAGCTTACCCAAGCCGATTTGCAACTTCCTGAATCAAATCCTGAAATTCCGAGCTCCAATACAGCATTTAATCAGAAAAATTTTTTCAATCAAATCACCGAAATTTCCAGATTTTTCCGTCGAGGGGTCGCGGCAGCTTCCGGCCTGTTCTTCCCGTTTTTCTCACTAATTCACTCCCTTTCAGCTTTATCAATTTCGTTTAGTCCCTATATACTAGCTTTCAAAAGCTAAATGGAGTTGTTTGATTCTGATTGGAGCAATTTTGTGTTCTAGAGCTTCTGCCAGTTTCCGGGTTCTTCAGACATTTTTCTCTTTTTTTTTTTTTTTTTTTTTTTGTGACCGGGTTATTACAAAACTGCTGGAGACGTTTGGCATTTACTAAACCGAAGCTTGAGTTTGGATAGTAATACAGGAAGTGTTTTACATAATCAGATCACAGAACGAAGGTGTTACTCTTCCTCTTCTGTGGTGATAATAAGAGCAATGGTTCTTGTGCATTGTATCAGTCACAGAGAGCAATCACATATTTTCTTGTGCTAAGTGCCTTTTACTATAAGAAAGAAATATAAGAGAAGAAATAATATTGTTGGCCATTTGAACTCTATTACATTTTATTAGTTAAAAATTAAAAACAAGGAGGAGGTAGATCGGTGGATTAGGTTCCACCGGTCTTCTTCCCAAAACCTATTAGTCACCGTTTACTTTCCTTGAATTCTTATGTGATAATTTGCGTGTTCTACAGCTATGATGCTACAAGCAACTGATTACATGTTTCAAAAGCCAACAGTACATCTCTTCATGATGCAACTGAAATTGACATAATTTGGACAAATTAAAACAGAACAAATGTCAAGATTTTTATGCCATAAAGCAAGTTTATCCATAAAGAAGCCACTCTAATAAGCTTACGCGTGCAATGGCCTTGGGACCAATATTTCATCCAGGAAGCAGCTCATAAGAGTAACCTCATGATATTCTTTTTGGCACTTCAGCCAGACAATTGAAAATGCTTAAAGTGAAAATGTGGAGACTGAAGGGGCGTGCGACAATAATGTTACTGTACTTTCTTCAATTGCAAATGAGACAAACAAGTCATAATGGGTAGGATCACTCCCTCTATTTATTTTAAAGACACAGCAGAAAGAGGCAAAATACCCAAAAAAAAAATAATAATAACAAACACAGACATGTAGAGGAGTCCGCCCAGTGGTCCTCACACCATTATTATGTCAAAAAGATTTTCTGGAAGCCGAAAAATATTATTACGAAGGAAACAATAAAGCAGTTGGCTGGAAATAATTTAGGAACCAAGAACGAACCTGAGCCCCAAATAAGAACAAACAAATCAAACCCATCCAAGAATGTAACTAAAGAAATTAGCAATGATCCCATTTTTGCCATGAAACTTTGTCCAAATCCCAAAAAACCCAGGTGCCAGAGCCACCGCTCGCATGAATAAATGCACCGATTTCTGCATATTCCTTGAACTCGGCAACCACTTGTGCACCAAAATTGCTGCAAATACAGAAGAAAATAAAAACAATCAGTGCCAGAGTTTCTGGAATACTTCCATCTTCCGTTGAAAACAACCCCATTCAGAAAACCCTTTCTTGTTGTTTTCTAAATTCCGGGTTCTCTCAGGACATTCTCCACCGACGAGAATGAACCCAATCACAAGGGATGAAGCATCTGCGGCAAAATAGAACAACCCAAATGATCACCCTTAATTTATCTCAAATTGAAACGCATTTGTGCGCGGATAGACATTATTTTCAGGGTAGAGAGAGCTACAGCAGAGATTAGGTAGTCTTGGGAGGAAGAGTGAGGGAGGAAGCTCGTCTTAAAGGCAAGAGCCCGGATGAGGACAAGACCAGCAACAATAAGAGCCGAAAGCCTAGCCAACAGGAGGAGCTGTACCGAACGAAACACCGAAGCCATGGTCCTTTTGGCCGAATCAACTCAACTACCCTTCTCAGCTCAGTGAAGAGTCACCACGGTACCACCGACAAAACTCTAGCAGTGGGGTATGCTATAGTTATGATTCATGGAGCGTAGTATATGAATCAGCGAAAGGACGAGAGTTGGTTGCTCGGACTCGCCATTGTACGGTGGGGGGGGGGGGGGGGGGGGGTGTGGGGGGGTGTGTTGTTTGTGTTTTGGGGTGTTGGACACGGGGAAGGCAATGGTCTTTCTACTTGCCCAGGATACGTCATTACAAAGAATATGACTTTATATGGGCCGAAATAGATTGCAAGAATGATCATTATAAGGAAACCAAAGGGACCGGGCAGCCCAGCCAACCGGGTTACATGAAAGAAAGGTGAAGGGGAGAGATCATATTGAGCTTATTGTAGAATATCAAGCGTAGATTCTGACATCCTATAGTAATGCGTTGATCAACTAAATGACAATCATTCTAAGTGTGTTTATTTCTTTCATGGAACAAATTATTATGTACAATTCGGATGGTAGTATGGTTGTTACTGTAGAGGAATAGAAGATAGAATGAAATAAGCTCATATCCTCGAGAAGCCAAAGAAGCTTTTAATAGCTTGGTACACAACTACTTTGCTGGAACAAGAGATTTAGGTTCTTTTCAATTAAACATAAAATCAACTAAAAGAAGTCTTGTATTTAACTTGTTATTTACGTTATTTTTAATTCGTTTATAGACAAGTTTACATGTGTGTTTAAATCTTTTTTAATTTGATATTTTTAAATATTAATTTAAAATTAATTTTTTTTTTAACTAAAAAAAATTAATAAATTTAAGTTTATGTAAATCAATAATATAGAATAAAAACCCCTTGATAAGAGTGAGCAACTCAATCAAATTTAATAATTATTGGTCGATGAGAGAGAAAATTACCGCGGAAACAAAAATGGAGTTATCTAAGGGTGGTGGAACATCCGAGGGATGAAATTTAGGGGAGGGAGACAAGGACCTGTTAGAGAAAGTAGTTTCGTCAAAAAAAAGAATTGGTGGGATCGATGGAATGAGACCCATGAGAGACCCCATTGCGACATCTCAAATCACTGTCATGTATGCTCAATAACCCATCACGTGACTAGCAACACAGACCATTAACTATGTGTACTATACGGCCAAGCACACATTGCATTATATCAATGCTAGGAGTGCGAATCTTTAACACTACCGTTTACAGGGGTGAGCGTAAACCCTTTCAATCCCTGTAACTCTCCATTTAATATAATATGTATATTTTTAAAAATTTATAATTTTACAATCCATTCAGTTATATAATTAAATAGTATTTTAAAATTTTAAAAACTCCATATCACGTTATCTATAGCTAATATATATATATTTTTTATTTATATTTTATAGTCACTATTATTCTAATTTTTTTTACATATTAGTTCACTTATTAAAGTACTCAGAATTAGAAAATAAAATCTTCTATCGAGGGAAAATATTTAGTATTTAAAATTAAATAAAATCATAACCTAAAAATGTTCAAATAAGAAGTTTTTTCGCATTCTTTTTAAATATAAAATAATAAATCAAAATTAGATATATAATAATATATATAATTCATTATTAGAAAATATGTTGTAGTAATAATATATTTATTCTGAACACTTTAAACATTTTTTTTATATTGAAAATGATCATACAAATATATTTAAAGAGTTTATAATTAAGGTTTTTTAAATATTTTACTTTATACAATAATTTTATTAGACTTAATTATTGCTTTCTTTTGATTTGAACTTAATTATAAATAATTTATTTTTTATTTAATTAAATATATTAATTGGAATGACTATGAAGAAATTTACTTTCTATATCTTTTGATTTTGTTTTATTTTGTAATGAAAAAATCTTATTTAAATTATTTGATTCTTAGGATTCAAGCACTACAAAATTATATTAATTTTTATAAGATTGATTTATTATAAATTATATTTTTATTAAATTTATCTCTAGTGTGCCAACCGAATTGCACATTTTGAAATAAAAAATAAAACAATTTGATTTTATTTTTTTACCACCCACTAACATCAGGTTAATTTTTTAACATAAATTTGCCCTCGCTCACCCCTAACTGTTTAAGCGCAAGCATGTTTGATAAAAAGGGATTAAATAGGTAAGGATCACATTAGATATTAAAATATTTAAATATTCATATTCAAATAAAAATTTAATACACATTTATACTAATATTTAATAGTTAAAAGAATTATTCATCTATATACATATTTATAAAAACTTCCATTATTTTCCACCATGTGTTTTAAACTCTAAACCAATCAAAAACTTTAAATATTTTCAAATTAATTTGAATTAATTTATTATAATTTTAGTATAATATTTTCTTCTATTTTAATTTTTAGTAGGTTAAATTAAAGTTTCAACAAGAATGATGATTATATTGTTTTGTTTAACATTTATTTTTAGATTCCAAAGGGTTAAGAGAAGTTGACTAGAGCCAGCAAGCAGCAACAAAACCCAAAAGAAAAAAAAAAAAATGAACCAGAAATTTCATGCAACACATAGTAGCTAGTTGATCCCAAATCCTACCTGCAACATTTCAAAAATTTTTAAGACAAGAATAATCAGGAGTAGAACATAACGCATGGCAATCTTGCTGTACTGTTCCATCATGAAATTCTAAGTCCAAACATAGCAGTTAGTGCGTTGACACGTCAGAGAACGTGGATTTTAAACCACCAGTGGTTGAAGGTAAGATTTACATTTACTCCCATCCCTCACGCTCGCAAGGAACAGAAGCGCTTCTATCTTTATCCCTGCAGAACCCTTTTCTCCAAGAAAATAATATGTTACATGGAAAAAACAGGCGATTCAAATTCTTGTTACAACTCTTGGCTCAAAGCTTTCAGAGATTTCCATGGAAATGAACAATCAAACAAGTTGGATATTTCTGTTCACATGAAACAAACTACCTTAATAAAATACTGGCATTATTATCAAATCAAAATATATTGTACTGACAAGCAGCTATATATCCGGGATAGGGAAAAAGCTTTAAAGAAAAATAATGCCCACAAATAGGAAAGCAGTGAAGCATATCGAGTACACCATGAAACCCTTTTCTTCTGTTTTAGTCCCTTTTTGGATCAATGATGGCTACAAGTCACAACCATTACAAACATGATCCTAAATCAATCTAAGCCCCTGAAGACAATTGGAGGGCTCTAGTTTCTACGATCAAATGTAGAAACTACTACCAGGACCTAGAAGCTCGATTTGGCATAAACCGACCACGACCCCTCCCAACATACCCATAACCCCTTCCATAATAACCACCTCGAAAACGACCACCACGTCCAGGCCCACGACCACCTCGGCTACCATGGTACCTTGAGAATTCACCAAATGTCTGCTCAAGAAACATTATAACCATGTCAGGCAGAAAAGAGGCAAGAGAGGTCCCCAATCTTTGAGACTAAAAGGCTAAATGGGCTAAAAACCATAATCACCTCTGTGTCTATCTTCCTTTGCTGGGAGAACCTAGTTCTTCCATTGTTTGATTCATGAGCATCGCTAGAGAGGGAATCAAAAAAAGTTATCCTTGTTGTAAATGGGCTACAAAAAACAAAAGCAGAAGCAAACATGAATTAGAAACAGAAAATAGACAGCAAGACACTTTCACATAATTCATCTTCGTAAGTAGTAGATAGGATGGCCATCTCACTTTGATCTCAAACTTTGCAAATGCAGCATTTTCTTCTTCATCTTGAGGATAATCTTCATCACCTCTCTCATCCCCTTCTTTGTCCGGTGAGATCTGTTACTTTTGCCAAAGTGCCCCACACTTCATCTTTATTGAATTCTCATTCATGGCCATAAAATCAAAATCCTCAGAAAATGTTGTCACTGGCCTTGAACTCTGTAAACCAAACATCCAAAATATTCTATGTCATGAAATATGCATTCAGATTATATCACCCAAACTAATCGTACAAGCACAATGGCAGGAAAAGAAAAACTAAAATATTTTAATTAAACATAATTATTACAAATGGCCCAAAATATTCAAAACTACAGAAACAAGCATGCTAGGCCAGCAGAATAAAATTAAGTAAAAGTAACATTAACACCAACTAGCACAGAACTCGATGCTGGGAAATTTAATCAACAACCAAAGTGTGGCCCCCCAAAAAAATAATAATAATAATAGAACTGATATATATACATAGGAATAAAATATAGTAAAAGTAACATCACACTAACTAGCTAAGAACTTGATGCTGGGAAATTTAATCAGCACCCAAAATGTGACCCTGAGAAAAATAAAAAATAATAGAAACTCATAAATATACATATACATGAAGCACAAACACTCTAGAAGGTTGAAGTGTCCATGTCAAGTCCAATTTCAGGACACACATCAAGCTATGTCCCCATTTTTTATTTAATATTTGTTCCATTGTACACATTGAGAACACTTAAAAAAGACACAAATCCAGAAATTAGACCACTTGGACACTTCAAGAAATCAAATATAACTTTAAGGAAAAGCCAATTTGCAAAAATATCAAATTATTTACTATCTTAAATGTTTTGAATAGGCATGATTTCCCAAGTTTTTAATATCAAGGAAGGACATTAGATCAGATACCTTGAATTGGTTCAAACATACTTTTTCTTTAAGAATTTTTGAGCTGTTTCTTACTTTGCATTATTTTTAGATTTATATCTTATATAACTATTGTAGATATTTTGCCATGTCCCCACAATGTCATGTCTTACATTTTCCAAAAATTGCCATATCCCCGTGTTCATCTCTGCACTTCTTAACACACCACACACACACACACAACATACACACACACATACACACACACACACAGAGACAAAGGATATTTACATATAAGAAGAAATCAAGTGCACATATTCAAATACCATACAAGATTTATAGGCATTTCATATTTCTCTTAGCATTTAAAAT